ACTTGGAATACCATCATCTTTTATATTTTACCAGATAATTGGCCAATATATTGTGTTTTAGTAAAGTAAAGTAAAGTAAAAAAAGCTTATTTTTTTTTTTTTTAAATTTGCGTTTGAAAAATTGCTGGGAAAGTACTATGTGACATAAAAAAATGCAGCACCCACTATTTTATTCACTAGGGCAGTGGTGGGCAACCTTTTTTTTCAACTGAGCCAAATCTCGCCAAAACCACGATTGAAATTTATTTTGAGAGCCACATTTTTAAAACTGAAAATACATCCCCCATATAGTAATTCATCCCCCATATAGTAATTCATCCCCCATAGTAATTAATCCCCCATATAGTAATTCATCCCCCATAGTAATTAATCCCCCATATAGTAATTCATCCCCCATAGTAATTCATCCCCCATAGTAATTCATCCCCCATATAGTAATTCATCCCCCATAGTAATTCATCCCCCATATAGTAATTCATCCCCCATAGTAATTCATCCCCCATATAGTAATTCATCCCCCCTATAGTAATTCATTCCCCATATTGTGTCAATTCACTTACCGTTGCTCCGTGCGTTCCTCTCGCCGTGTTCCCGCGCCGTTCCGGTCTTCAGGGCGGACTGTGAGAGGAGAGGAGTTTGTCACACTGCCCCGCCTACATCCTGACAGCCAATGTTTGCCACGCTCCACAAGCCGGATTAAAAGGTCCGCAGGCCGTAGTTTGCCCATTGCTGGGCTAGCTGCAGAGTCCTGACTTTTGGGGCGGCCGCCCGAGAGGAGGGAGGGGAGCGGGCGCCCGGCACACAGAAGAGCCGCATTAAAATGTGTAAAGAGCCACATGTGGCTCACGAGCCGTGGCTTGCCGACCACTGCACTAGGGTGTTTGCTTTAAAAAAAATATATAATGTTTGGTGGTTCAAAGTAATTTTCTAGAAAAAACACAGTAGAGGTCCCAGGTTCAAGTCCAGGCCCTGACAGTCACGGCTAAAAGGGCTAAGGCCCTGGGCTGCCGATACTTCCTCGAAACAAAATTGGTGCAAGATACCCTTTGACGGACAGTCATTGTTCGGCAATAAATTGGACACAGCCATATTTAGGGTAATGGGAGGAAAGTTCAGTCTGCTCCTGCAGGACAGAAAACAGAGAAGGTCAAGGTTCTTCCCTTTATAGATTCCATTCCGCTCAGTCCAGAGAACCTAGATCCAGCAGTAAATCAAGTTCAAATAGAGGTTGGTAAGGTCCACAATTAGAAGTCCTTGAGTGTGCCGACTAAGCCCTTTTGATGGTTCACATATCCAGACTGTAGCGGTGGGGGCCAGATTGACATCTGAACAGCCACTTGTATGGATTCTTGGGTAAAGGCATTAGTCACTTATGGTCATTCTTGGAAAATCCTGCATGCTCCTCCAGACCATTTCTCTCCCACCAAACTTCTGGATTCTCCACAGAAGAAGGCAGTTCTGCAACAATACATATAGACACTGCAAGCCCAGGGGGCAGTGGTACCAGTTCCTTTCACATAAAAATATACAGGCTTCTATTCAACCCTGTTTATGGTCTATGGACAGAGGTTGGTGACCAGTTATAGATCTAAAGATGTTAAATCGATTCATCTACCTGGAGAAGTTCAAGAAGGAGTTCATCCAGACTACAATTCCTGTGGGGCCTCCCCAGGTTAGAATTCTTCACTTCCTTCATCATCTACAAGCTTTGGAGATATCTGTCTTGGTTCCCACATCCTGAGGGGATGGATGCACTGCTTTTCCCTTGGAACTGCAGTCTGGGTTCTGCGTTCCCTTAAACCGCACTCATAATGAAGTTTCTCTCAATGTTGCTGAGAGAAAACACTTTGGTCATCCTTCTGTATTGGCCAAGCAGACCTTGGTTTCCCCTCATCATCCACTTCAGCACTCAGAGGCCAATCCCTCTCCCGGTATTCCCATGTCTTCTGTTAGAGGACAGCTTAATCCATCCCAACTTGCTCAGGTTGGACCTGTGAGCATGGCTGTTGAAAGGAGGAGACTAGAGAACTGAGGGTGCTCTTCTAGCATGATCTCTGCTCTACTAAATGCTAGAAATCCCTCTACCAATTATATCTATGCAAGAGTCTGGGTCAAATTTGCAGATTTCTCAGCTGGTCGGGCCTTCGATCCCACTTCACCCCACTTTGGTGATTCTTCCGTATTGGCCGAACAGGCCTTGGTTTCCCCTCATCATCCACTTCAGCACTCAGAGGCCAATCCCTCTCCCAGCATTCCCAGATCTGTTGTTAGAGGACGGCTTAATTCATTCCAACTTGCTCCGGTTGGACCTGCGAGCATGGCTGTTGAAAGGAGAAGACTAGAGAACTTAGGGTGCTCTTCTAAAATGATCTCGGCTCTGCTAAATACTGGAAATCCTTCTACCAATTATATCTATGCAAGAATCTGGATCAAATTTGCAGCTTTCTCAGCTGCTCGGACCTTTGATCCCACTTCACCTTCAGTCACAGGCAGGGGCAGACTGACCATTTGGAAACTCGGGCACTGCCCGAGGGCCCAGGGTCAGTAGGGGGCCCCATGAGATGTCCCTGGTACCTTTTTCATAGGCTTTCTTGAGTTTGGGCAAGAACACAGGGGCCCCATGATCCCCTATTGCCCGGGGGCCCCATGACTTGTCAGTCCTCCCCTGGTCACAGGTATTCTGGATTTCCTCCAGACAGGATTGGATATGGGCCTTAGCCTAAGCTCCTTTAAAAGTTCAAGAAGGAGAATCTTTACTCAATGGGATTTATCTATTCTGCTAGAGTGCCTGTTGGCCCAGCCGTTTGCCCCAACAAAACAATCGTCCATTTGGGACATTACATATGAAGCATTGTTTCTTACAACAATAACTTCAGGTAGAAGAGTGTCAGAATTGCAGGCCGTGTGGGCCTCGGATAGTTATATCGACTTCTTCCCGATTTCTTCCAAAGCAAAAAGTTAAGGTGTTAAGCTTTAAAATATGCACAAATGCACAAACCAGTAGGATTGAGAGTCCTCTTCCAATCTGAAAGATAATTCAGATACTGTCTTTCATCAGAGGTGGGTTAAAATGTTACTAAACCCACAACAGGAAAATCAGTCTGTATATGCAATAAATCATGCTGGTTATACTCACTGTGGAACCTAAGGGGTTAATCCTCCAAATTCTGTAAAAAGGCTGTTTGATCCTGACTTCTCTGATCCTCCCCTTCTTCCAGTGTCCCCCTCTTATCTCCTTGAGAGACATATCGTGTGTAGTCACACTGCACATGCTCAGTTTGGTGTGTGTTGCTACAGAATTTTTTTTTACTTGGGAGAGTGCATGTGATCAGCACAGAGCCAATCAGCACTGTCCAGACAAAGGTCAGGGGTCCTGCATTCTCTTAGAGCAGAACTTCTCCTACAAGCTTTAGCTCAGCTGGACACTGATAGAAGTCACAAGACTGCTCTAACTGCTGATGAGAAAAGGTATTTAGCAGTTTACATTTACTAAAATAATTGCATTTCTATGTTGTGTGTACTGTGGGAGACCAGATATAGTGAATGCAGGGTCCGGGGTTTGGTAACATTTTAAGTTATAATTCATCTTTTTTTCAACTATATTACCTTAAATTAGATGTAACACCCTGCTATTATTCAGACTGCAGGATGTTAAAACAGGCACAAGGTGGTAGTGTTGTGCAACTCAGTGGCACACATCCTGGTGAAAAGCTTTATGGATTTTGTAGGCTGAACTGCAGGAATTTGTTAGAAGGCTGCTAATTGGGGGACTACAATTCCCAGGAGAGCTGGTGCATGGGCAGAGGCATATAAATGTAGAAGCCCAGGAACTGAGGCAGGAAGTGTGCAGGGGAGAGCTGGAAGGAAGGTGTGAGGAGAGAGCTGTGCGGAACACCAGAGCACCAGACCAGGTTACAGAGAGAGCAGAGAGAGAGGGAGGAACAGCTGACCACTGACATTGCCAAAGAATCTGGAGAACTACCCTGTCAACCGGTGACCCAGAGTGCTGCAGTCAGGAACAAACTCTACAGCAGAAACCGCTAAGGGCCCCCATTTACAGTGAAACCACCAGCGACTGGAATGATGGGGTGAGCCAATTAGGCTGTCACTGACATTCTCTTGCATCAGCCATTCTCATAGAAACATAGAAAAGTGATGGCAGAAAAAGACTGGTCCATCGAGTCTGCCTGTTTTTGTTTTTTTTTCTTGGGGGGGGGGGTGTTTTTTGTTTTGTTTTTTTTGTTTGTTTTGTTGTTAACTTTTTTGTCTGAGTTTGGATCTATGTTTGTCCCAAGCATGTTTGCAGCTATTTACTGTTGAGTGGCTCAATACCTCTTCTGGAAATTCTACTTCTCTATCTAGTTACTGACATTGTTCACCAGTTACACACGTTGATGCCTAGTTCACCCAGCCTATTAGCAAAGACATCTTCAGCATAATCCAGTCATCAGAGCCTAATTCAGTGTCCACCCTTTGCGGGCCAAGCCACACCACTGTCTTCTCTGCAATTGGCTCACATCCATCACATCCATCAAGGTATACCAATCATTGTTGCCACTTGCTACTGTGGCTTAGAGAGGAATTAATTCTTTGTCATTAAGTGTTTCTGCCCACCCTTTAAACCTCTTGCCTAAAATCTGCATCTCATCTGGTTCTTTAATGATGGGAGCAAGGCATTTCTCTCGTTCTGGGAGGATGTCATATGACATCCTCCCACTCTAACTGCGCATGCTCTGCTCCAGGGGCATGCAGCGTGGCGATCGGTAGTGCGCTGTGTCCCTCGGACACAGTGCATCACCAGTCAGTGAAAAGAGCCGAAGATGTTGGCTCAGTCATGTGATCAGCTACGTCCAATCACAGCTGATCGCATTTAAATAGGGAAATGCCGGTTATCGGCATTTCTCTCCTCATGAGCTGTCACGCTGATAGCTCGAGAGGAGAGGAGAGCCGGTAATCGGCATTACTCAGAGGGGACATGGGCACTGATGATCAGTGTGCCCTCATGATCAATGTAGGCCCAGCAGTGCCACCTGTCAGTGTCCATCAATGCCAGCTGTCAATGCCCATTAATGCCACCTGCCAGTGCCCATCAGTGCCACATCAACGCTACATATCAGTGCCTACCAGTGCACATCAATGCCACATATCAGTGCCCATCTGAGCTGCCTTTCAGTGTTACCTATCAGTGCCAGTCAGTGCCACCTATCAATGCCAGTCAGTGCACCCATCAGTGCTGCCAATCAGTGCCGCCTATCAATGTCAGTCAGTGCCGCCTATCAGTGCCAGTCAGTGCCACCTATCAGTGCGCATCAGTGCTGCCTATCAGTGCCCGTCAGTGCTGCCTATCAGTGCCACCTAACAGTACCAGTCAGGGCCACCTACCAGTGCCAGTCAGTGCCACCTATCAGTGCCGCCTATCAGTGTCACCTATCAGTGCCATATATGAGTGCTGCCTTTCATTGCCCATCAGTGATGCCTGTCAATGCCCATCAGTGCCACCTACCAGTGCCTCCTCATTAATGCCCATCAGTGCCACCTATCAGTGCATCCTATCAGTGCCCATCACTCATCACCTCATTAGCGCACATCAGTGAAGGAGAAAAATCACTTATTTACAAAATTTTATAACAAAAACTAAGAAAAAAACTTTTTTTTCAACATTTTCAGTTGTTTTTGGTTTGTTTAGCAAATAAAAATCCCAGAGGTGATTAAATACCACCAAAAGAAAGCTCTGTCTGTCTCAAAAAAATGATAAACATTTCATATGGGTACAGTGTTGTTTGACTGCGCAATTGTCATTCAAAGTGTGACAGCGCTGAAAGCTGAAAATTAGCCTGGGCAGGAAGGGGGTAGTGCCCGGTAGGCAAGGGGTTAGAGGTACGGTCCAAGTTAAATATCACTTAACAAGATAGAGCTTGTGCTCGCATAAATCCTTTTGAGGAACTTCCACCTGTGGCAACCAAGGAGTTCTGAAGTCTTGTAGTACACCAATTGGGCCCCAGAAAGAGCACAGAAGATCTTTCACTGCAGTTAAAGGGCCACTAGACTTGCCAATTAAAGAGCTCTTTCCCTACCTCAGACTTGAACCTTGTCATCAGCTTCTGAGGGCTGAAAGTGAGCTAGACTCACTCTTTTGTAGTTTTCCTCTGCTCACTGGGGACATAAACATCTCAGAGTTGAGGCCTTTGGTTAAATTCTGAATTGCAGGACTTCCTGAACTGACTAAAATCTTTGTTATATATGTACTGACTGTTGCCTAAAGTTACTAAGAGTGATAACTGTTATTATTTGCACGCCTATAATTTTGTGCTGTTTTACTCTGCTCATGCTTGACTCTAATATAAACAAAGTATCAGTTCACTGTAACCTGTGTGTGTCTTTTTCTGGTGATACTGGTGAGTTTACTCTGGTAAGAGGTGTACAGTGGTGTCAGCAGGCGCTGGGCTTTCATAGTGGGGCAGGAAGCCCAAAAATAATTTAGCGACCCTTAACCTCTTAGCAGTTTTCCCGAGTGTAGCTCGGGGTAAAATTTGAGTACCAAGAGCGATAACCCCGAGCTACACTCGGGCTTACCATGCGGAGTTGCTCAGGGAGTCCCTGCAGCACTTACCTTGTCCTTCACTCCCGCGATGTGTCCCCTGCAGCGTCCCTGGCCATCTCCTCCGGCCGATGCCAGCATCCGGCTTCCGTGTTCCGGTCCCTGTGATGTCGGAACGTACGGGCGCCGGAACCGAAGGCAAATTTGAAATTTTAAAAAAATGTCATTTCTGTTTCAATGCATTTCACATATATTTTGTCCCTACTGCTTTGTCATGTGGCCTGCCTGCATTTTGATTGTTCTTTTTGCCTGGAAACTTAGAAAAGTCCATGGCATCCAAAAAGTGTCCCTTTAGGTCAAAAGTGGTTTTAGACCAGCTAGAGAACAGCGATAGTAAATCAGAACCACTTGCAGAATTGAGTGATAATGATTCGTGGGGAAATTCGTCATCAGACACTGAAAACGATTTTGCGACTTTGCTCAGCGATGTGTGAATTTGCCTCTGGATTTCAAATTTCAGTGTTTTTGGTTTGATTATAATATTGAATTAAATTTATTATTATTATATTATTATTTTTTATGATTATTTATTAAATTATAATTTATGATTTCGTGTTTCAAGTTTTATCCTACCTGGGATGTTTAATAGTTGTTTGTACAGATTTAAGTGAGTTATTCCTAAAAATTACAGCCGACAATAAAAAACTACATATTTCCATGCAAAAAAATGGTACCGCTTTCAGCACAAAAAATCGGAGAGAATCATACCGCCGAGGAGGTTAAGGAAGTAGTGCTACATAGACAAAAAAAAAATAAAAACTTGAAGTAGTTTTGAAGCCTACAACAAATAATAATAAAAGTGCACGAACAATATTGGCCCGGATTGTATACCGCAAGGTCTTTGCAGTGCACTCAAACAAATCGTAAAACTTCAATAAAAACCGTGTTGCTATGTTACTGAATAAGCTTGTCTATGTGCATGCCATATAATAGAAGCAGCATTTTTGGAATAATCTTTTTTAAACACAACGCTCGGGTACAGGGTTTTTCTGTGCTCTACAGAGCTGCTAGGACCTTTGTGTCTCTCTGTAAAGATGGCGGCGCCCATGGAGCTTTATCATTTTTAGAGCCTTGCCGCAATCCGACTCCAGTCCATCCATCCAGAGAGGGAAGCACCTGTATACAGGCATCCATAGCCACCTATCCCTTAAAGGGACCTCTGGCTTGCTGGATCCATTCACATCCCTTGAGGGCTCATACCCATATTCCTGGAGGGGGAATCATCTCATGTTCCAGCCCAGACCCAGACCTATGAAGGGGACCTTTGCTGATATATACACCGCGTAATTTTATTACGTTTCTGATGAGTGCGCAATTCTTACTTTACCACTGGGAGCACCACCACTGGATTGAAGATTCTATGTCATTCACACGACATAGACTGTCACGCTTTTACGATTTATTTAACATTTAGGACATTTTAATTGGTTTCATTTCGTATTAATCATAGTGCTGCACCATTTTTTACAGTTTGGAGAAATATGCAGCTTTTGTGAGTGCTCAGGATTTGTTGGTTTTGATGTTTCTACTGAGAAATGAACGTGTTTAAAATTTCAGAGCAGATTGTTTTACTTTAGGTGAAATGCCCTTATTAGATTGAAGGTTTTATGATGTAGCGTAAGGCCAAATGTTTCACAGTGCCATATGAGCTATAAAGGAACTATATTTGTTAGTTTTATAGGTCTGGGATTTCAGAATGTATAAACTTATGCTAGGAGTTTGTGAATCTTGCCTGTTTTTTGAAATGTATCTCATGCCGCTAAAATATGTGTTCAGAACTTTCTTTAGCCTACTGTGCCAGGGGGAAAAGCATATTTTCTGTACTTGAAGGCTCACTAAATCCAAGAATGGTAAAAAATGTAATATACTGCAGTTTACCAGATTAAATTGGTGGCTGCATTTGTATTTTCTTTTTTTCAGGGTAAAGTGTTGCTAACACCACAAAAAGTAAAATCAATCTGTATGTGTAGTAAAGCATACTTGTTATACTCAAACTGTGGAACCTAATTGGTTAATCCTCTGCACTGTGTAATAATACTGTTTAATCCGGTCTTCTCTGATCCTCCTCAGAAGGTTTTTCCACAGTCCCCAATCCTTCTGCTAATAGTACAGAGCCCTAGGAGGCACTCTGCACATGCTCTGTTTGGTGTGTATTGCTAGAGAGTTTTTTTTTATGTTCTGCCAATTTTTTTTTTAGGGTGCATGTGATTGGCCCTGTGCCAATCAGCACTGTCCAGAAAGGGGTCAGGCAGCCTCATAGGACAGTCAGAGGAAAATGAAAATTCTCCTACAAACTTTAACCAGTGCTCGGCTCATAGAAGTCATAAAACTGGAATATATAAATAATATCCTGCTGATGAGAAAAGGTATTTAGCAGTTTATATTTATGTAAATAATTGCAGTCTATGTTCTGTGTACTGTAAGAGACCAGATAGAGTGAATGCAGGGTCCTGGGCTTAGTAACATTTTCAGCAAGTGCGCAAAAACCCCGTTGGTCCTACCAGAAGTGCAAAACCCTTGTCACTTCCTAATAATTGACCTGAAACCATCTTTCTTGTGTAAACTACTAATCCTAACAACTTCTATGTAGTGAAGATAAACAAGGCAGACATGTTTGAAGTCCAGCTCAGGTGTCAACCATGACTCCCTCCCAGGGGTGGACCGACAACTCATGGGCCCCCCCCAGGCAATAGGGGATCATGTGCCCCTGTGTCCTTGCCCAAACTCAAAAAAGCCTATGAAAAAGGTACCAGGGGCATCTCATGGGGCCCCCTACTGACCCCAATAGGGGCCCTCGGGCAGTGCCCGAGTTTCCAAATGGTCAGTCCGCCCCTGCTCCCTTCACAGATAACAGAGTAGCAGTGAGCATAGCCACCCTGGAAAAAAGTTATTTGCGGATCACCAGATGAATATAATGGAAAAAGCTTGAAAAAAAAAGAAACTGAATGCAGCCACCACATCTAAGGAATGTAAGGTGCCATGTATTTTTGTAGATTTAACAGTTTCAAAAATCAACCCATCAAGAGTGTGGAGTGTTATAGGGTAAAATTCAACTACATGTCAAAACATTTATTAACCTGTTGTCATCCATGTAACGCATTTGTACCGCATCAAAAAAGGGTGGTCTGTAAAGTGCACATGCCACACATATGCATCTATGGGCAGCAGAGGTTTCTGTGCTGGGAGCGCAGACCCTTCTGCCCCCCTCCCAGTGAAAGGCAACGCACAGTGGAGCACTTTTTAGAGGGCAGTAGAGCAGCAGCTGCCAGACATTCAGGAGGTGATACACTTTCGCTTGAATGGGTTGCATTTGGGGTTGTACTGTTTGACATAATTTTTGCCAAGGTATGTGTACAACCCTGCTGGGCTGCATGCAATCATTTAGGTGGGAGGTTGGGAGCAGTAAAACGACCTGTTTTTACTTCCCACCCCATCCCCGGAACAAAATCAAATCCGATCAAGCTCTACACATTTGAGTGGCAGGCAGATGACGTTGCACCCTCCAATTCAGGCAGCAAATGGAAGCTTTGTATTCATGTACAGAATTCCCAGCACTTAGACCTACTCCGTTTTGTTCTGGGAGTGGGATGGGAAGTTCCCATCCCACTGCTTGGACACAGCGCTATATACTGTATTTAGCTGAAGCTTCAGTCAGCTTATACAGCCCTCCCAGCTGCTGCATCTGCTAGTGAAAAAATAGTTCATGTGGATCAGCTTGGGCCAAACAAGCTATTTAAACTACACTATAATCTGCAGATCAGCTTTACTTTTAATGCATGCAAGTAACTTCATTCTCTTGAACAGCTGCAAAATCCTCAGCAACTGAAAAATATTCATTTTCAACACATTTCCAGGGACATAGATCTCCATTATTCCTTCAGCTGCCCTCTACATCTCTGCAGGAAACCGCAATGATGTGGAAGT